TTTGGAACAAGAGAGTAAAACAACAGGAAAGCTTCAGTAAATCATCATAGCCCTTAACAAATGCAGTGCTTCAGGAAGGTAAGTACCCTGAAAAAAAAAAAAATCTTCATTCTTACTTGACATTTCTCTATTTACTTTATTCTTTTTTTTATGGAATGGTCACCACTTAATGAGCAATTATGTATAATATTTACTTGAACAGTAAAGTGATCTCAGTGACTTTAATGAAAGCATTATTCTAAGGGCTGCTCTATAAAACAAAGAGAAAGTACTTCACATCAGGATAATGTTACAGGGAGAACTTCAGTCAGCAGAACTAAATTTAAAAACAGTGCTCTTACAAGATGTAACAACTTGCAAATTTATGATCAGATCTGGCAGCTCTTTTTCAGACTTGTTCACTGTACAGAATTCAAATGGTGTAATAACACCATACATTTTAGCAGAGGTTGTAAAAATTACCTATAAAATAAAGCATGGAATATATCAGCTCTATCTTCAGTAGTTCCACCTAAGCATCATCTGGATAAGATGGAAGAGTAGATTCATACTCTCTAGGTATCTCCTAACTATTCTAAATAGAAAAATGCTTTATCCCCTTTATTTCTTCCCCCATTATTTTCTATATACTTCATTGTCAGTACATTTTTTACTACTCCAGTACAAAAAGTGGATTTGATACAACTATGATTTTATAATACGTAATATATTGTGCTGATATTTTATCTGTTACTTTATTGAAAAATAATATATTTCTAGTAATAAAAACTGAGGCATGTTTTCCTCTTATCTGATTATGGTTTACAGTAAAATTAAAGCAGCTTTATGGTCCCTGATCTAAACAAAGGGATCCCAATGACATCACTAGTTACTCTGCATAAGAGTTGTGCATGAGTTCCTGCTGCTGCATTCACCTTCACTACGCAGGTTGGAGAACCAATTTAACCAAGCAACAGAGCTATGCCACTACTAAAGATGGACTTGACAATACAAAAGATATTCCACTGTTTCAGCTAGTGAAGTTAAGTTTGAGTCATAAGAGAGGGGCCACAGAAAGTATAATCTGAGATAAATTGTTGGAATACCACTGACAATCTGAGCCAGACCCTACCAGAAGTTAGAGAAGCTTCTGAGCAGCACTTGGCATCTATAACTGATGCAAGACCCTGGGCCAAGAGGAGTACCAGAAAGGTTTAACATGCTGTGTGCCTCACTTTATTTTCTTTGCTTTTTTGATGTTAAACTTGGTGCAGCTATCATAGCATAAGGACACAGACAAGGCACAGTTTGTGAGTGAAGATAATATCTTTATCAGAAAAAAAAAAAAAAAAAAAAAAGGTATATTTGGAAAAAGAAACTCCTTTTCAGATACAACCCCTTTTTTTGGGAAGACCTTCTTCAGGACAAAGTGGTTGGGCATTCATAAGTATACCTACAGTTTCTAATTATGCTAGGTGGTCTTATAAATTCTGCTGTTGAGAAAGCTTGCCTTTTCCTTCTAAGATCTTAGGAACATAACTGGTACCAAAGGCCTGAAAACTTCCCAGCAGCAGAAAGTTCTGCCATATGCCACCAGTCACCTCAAGTCTTTGAAGCCCATTTTTTTTCTTAACAGAACATAAAATCCATCACAAAGTTTATGCACATGGGCTGAATATGTTTCAAGATGTCTATGTGTATCTAAATATATACAAGCACCTTTTGAAATGGTAGCACTTCATTGAGAGAGAGGATTGGAACTAATGATAAAAAGAGCTAACAGAAAGAAAAACGTCTGTGAAGTCCTCACAGCTGGGGGTTGAAACAAATGTTTTAGTTAATGCTCATTTTCAGTTCTACATTGCACCAAACAAAATCTGTTTTGGGGCCAGGTAAAAGTTAGTTAAATTTTCATTAGTTTAGTGAAAACTTCTCAAAAAAACAACAGACAAGGATTAATTGCGAAAGCATTTGAAGAAAAAGATTTACTTAGGGAAACTGATATGAAAAGTGCAATAAGAAAGATTCAAACTTCTCTTCCAAACCTTTTAAACACTATCTCTTTTTTTTTCAGTAGAAAAAGACCACTAGTGTTTTTGTTACCTAATGGGACTGGAGGTAAATTAGGCAAGTGAGATATTTCCAGGCTCTGCTATCATCACTGATCTTAGTTGGTGTTCTTCCATTCTACACCCTTCTAGAGGAGCTGAGGGTCACCTCACTGAGAAATCTTGACATGCACATCAGACCCATGCGTTTTAAATCCGATGCAAAAATATATACATTTATTTTGTTGCTGATGTGTTGTTTAATAGTCAGAAATGGCAACTCCTCAGTAAATCAGACTGTATGTTGATATAGCAAAAAATTAAAATACTGGCTTAAAGCAGGTTATAATTTACACCTCTCTAACTGTGTAGATTTAATAGAACATTTTTTTCTGTATGTAATTGCCTGTTATATGGTTACTCCAAGGCTGTACTTAGTTCTATCTGTTATCTTCATCCTATGTTGTTTACTATATGACTTGGGAATGATGACTGATTAATACATTTTAATTTTTTCTCTTTGACTGTACTCTGAAAGACATAAATAATTGCTTATTAAGAATCTACTGTTTCCCTAACTCTCTTTAACAACCAGATTAGTAGTTAAGGACCTATCTTCCCTCCTTTGATGTCAATCACTTCCTAATTTTTATGTGTAAAGTTTGTATTGGGTCATAGGAATCAGAAAATCCAATGTATTAAGTGTACAGAAAATGCTAAAGTTTTATAAAGAAATAATATTTACAGGTTAAACTTTACTATTCATTTACTTGCTTTGGGCATAATTTCCAATTATTATAAACCAATTATATTAAAAATTTGCATGGATAGCTATTCTTAGTCTTCAGTATGAATGTTTCTCTTTGGACTTTTTTTTTAATAGGCTGTTCATTTTTCTACATACCACATAGAGTATGTTATGTTCTAAAATGGTATGGTGGAATGTGGAGAATTTTGTTTTGGGGAAATAATAAATTCCTTTGGCTCTGTACAAAAGGCTTTATTCATCCCTCAGGTGCATGTTCATTATCTGGATATATCTTGGCTTTTCCCTTAACTTAAACAAGAGCCACCTACTGTAAATCACCTTTTTTTTTCTTACAGACACATGTACAACTTGCAGCCTCTTATATTAAAAAAATGTACTCAGCTTTAATTTTCTAAAAAAAGTTATGAATCTTTAATTAATTAATTAATTAAAATTAACATTGGTTCCAATATCAAACAGCATAATTTTTTTGCTGCCAGGGTGAAATTCAGTCTAACCCGAGAGGAAAAGATGAATCTTATTGCAATTTCTAGTTAAGTTGTTGAAACTGCTATGCCAGAATATCATGTATGCCAAAGCATCTTATTGGAGCATCATGCATGCATAAGGGACATGTAGCATGCATTCTCACCTGCTAAAGACAGATATTTATACAGTGCTTCTCAACAAAATATTTATTTTGTACATGTTGGAAGCTCATCTCCCTACTATATAAGCTCATAGAAAGGTGCTTCTGACCAGGAACCATACTTACAGAAATAAATAGTAACCAAACCTCTTACAAAGGGCTTTTTCATGTACAGTGTTTTACTAAAAATCATAATACAAAGATAAGTGATACTCAAACATGCATTCAGGCTGCTGTGTTTCTTTCCTCTCTAGTGCAAACACTGTATTAACCTGAAAAGCTGTGCTAAAATTCAATACACCTTACTTGCAGCTACAGGCATGTTCCTTTTCCAATCCACTTGTGCATTAGTACCTGGGTGAGTGCATTTGGGTAGGCCCTTGCACTGCCCTCTGCATTCTTGCTTTCCACAGCACACCACCACAGACAGTCACTCTAGCTCTCCATCTATCCTTTCATCCTTGGTTTTCAGGGGAGCCTATGCAACATGCAGTTTAAATGAAAATAAAAAATATGTGTCTCCTCCCTGCTCCACCTGAGGTAAACACCAACTTTGTTCTACTGACCTCTAACAAAAGGCAGAGGTCAGAAGGACAAAATCCTCTGACCTAGAATCCATTTGTGCAGTGTGTTAAATACCATTAGGTCTCATTGACTTCTCCAGACTCTTCCCAAGGCATTTGTCATTAGCAGCAGAAATCCATATTTAATAACTATTTAAGTGTTATTATGGTATTTCTTGAGATATACTGAAGAAAAGTATATATACTGAAGAAAATTATTCCTAGCATTGTATTAGGAAACTGTTTTTTGTTGTCTCACGGAAAGCGATTTAAATATAGCGATGTTACAGTGCACATTACTGTACAGGGCGTTACTACATTACGCAGCCTTGCTTAACATCCCAGGCTCAGAATCAGTTTGGCCACAATATCCTGTAAGAGCTAGTGACTTTGGAGCACTACATATGAGACACCTCAGACAAACCTGTCTTTCAGAAAGTATTAAATCTCTGCCATGAGAGCACATTTTGGAGGAGTGAAATGGACATCCAAACACTGAGACCCAACAGAGTAGTCTTTTAGAAAATTTTGGCCTTCATGAACACTGATGTAATTCAGGATTAATTCCATCAAGCTGAAAAGATTACAATAACAAAAGAGCAATATGAGATTGGATTTAGGCCTCTGAAGTCTAAAATCTCCAATATATATTTAAAGAGGAATAACTTACTCCAGCATTTGGAAAATGGGGCCTATCGAAAAGCATGAAACCTCTAAAATGTTACTTGAATGCCAGAAAAGTAATACTTTAAAAAGCCAAGACAAAAATGCCAAGAGGAACAGAAAGGAGTGAGCCAGAAACACTAACATGTTCGTTTCCACCCTGTCCATGAGCTGGGTGAGACCCTCAGCTCTGCAGGCATCTCTGGGTATTAACTAAGGACAGTCCCTGCCCTCAGTGACACAAGTGTTATCTCACAAAATAGAAATATGGACACAAGATGGACTTAAAAGAAGGTTCCTAACTAGAAAAAATACCAACTCAGAAACATGTGCCTTGTGACGGTACCTACATTTAGCTGTGACTTTGTACCCGCCCAGCGGAGGGTCGTGGCCTTCCACAGCATCAAATCCTGCAGACACCAGGACAATCTCTGGATCAAACTCATTGGCAGCTGGCATAATCACAGTCCTGTAGAGTGAAGAAAACCAACCTGTTAAAAATTAAAGGAACTTCTCTCTTCATGATATAAATTGCCACAATCTCAAAAATCCACAACACAAGATACTTTCTTTTAATTAAACCAGTCTTCATGGTAGCTGTCCAAAACCAAAGAAAGTCCAAGGCTTCCATTAATTTCTTTCTATAGTCACTCTTTCTTCTTTTCTATGACTGAAGAAAAAAAAAAGGCAGGTACATGTGAAAGCCTCTAATATTACACACACATCTGTGCCTGTTTTATCCTGCTGCCTATAAAAAGCTGCCTCTTCCAGGGAAGTGACTAATGGTTTACAGAGAGCACTCAAAGCCTGAGTGGAAACCCGGACTGCTCCAGTTAGTGCGAACTTGGTGTAAATTTGAACTATAAATTTCTTTTGGGAAAATGTTTGCTTTCCAAACTTTTTTTTTTCTTCTTAACATTTTTAAATGTTTGTCGAGGTGGGGGGTGACTCTAGCAAAGGAAAAACATGAAATTCCCTTAATCAAATCCAGACTATGTTGTCAAGCCTTTCCAAGGTCAAGCATAACAGGAATGTGACAACCACAAACTAGTGACAGCAGCCCCTGCTGGTGTCAGGAAGATAATTCAGCCCTTCACAGTCACAAAATTTCCACTTTTTTAACCCCTTCTTTGACAAACTTCCATGGGGATATTTTGTCTCTCTGCTTTTGCTCTTCTCCAGACTCAAAGCATTAAAGATGTGTTGAAGGAGAAGATAAACCCCTGTGTTCTGCACCCACAGATGCCTTCTTTCAGGCTGACTTTCTGAAGCGAAGGTATCAGGATGGCTTTTACACTAGTGCAACAAACACAGCCTGTAATGACTGCGTTAATTCAGGGGGACATCACTAACATTAAAAGGCATATACATAAATTAATGTTCTGTTCCAAATATATTAACTCAAGGCAATCCCAATTGGTCTACACTGGTCAAAATCTGAAGGTCAATTTTGCACATGTGTAATATAATTTGTCTTAGTTCAATATTTATTTATTTATCGTTTAATCAATTTAGGCCAAAGAGATCATGTTTTTGTTGAAAGATTAAGGTTTTCTGTGGGGAAACAAAAGCACATTAATTATATTTTAACAAGTCTTTAGGTGTTTCTTTAGTTTTTGATCTGTATTTTATAAACTTTATTTTGTTCTGATTTCCTCAAAGGTAATTTTAATATTAGGAAAGTGTTCCTTTTACTCGTTAGTCAGAGAAAAGGAGAATTTAGACTACGTAAAAAGTCCTTGTTGAGACATACAGCATTTCAATGAATATCATTTTACATTAGAAAAAAAGGATAGGGGAACTTCATTTTTCTGGAGATTTTAATGAAATTGCACCATGAATGTCTGCAGGCAGTGATATAATTTGTGAAATATCCTTTTTTTCACATGTCATTAGTAGGCCTCTGCTGAAGTATGGATTCCAGTAGCTAACACTGCACTTCAAGAAGGACCTAGACCAACTTGAGAGAACATAGGGAAAGAAAAAAATTCTAAAAAATGTGACCTAAGTGTATAAAATTATAGAAATATAATTATTTGATTCATATAACATGACAGCAAACATGATAAAAGTCCGCAAATATGTAAGTGGTCATTGCAAGAGGAAATGAATAACCTGTTCTGCACTTCCACTGCAGATAGAACATGAAGTAGCAGGAAAGCTGTAGTTCAGACACTGGAAAAAGCTTTTCAATAGTAAGGATAGATAATCATTTAAATAAAATGTTTAAGAAAATTGAAGCCTTTCGATCTCTTTGAGTTATTAATAATAGGTAAAACAAATATCCATCAAGCTTGCTACAGGTTCGAGCTGACAGGCATGAGGTCAGATTACTTCTCTTCTAGGTCTTTTTCTTATAGTTCCATGATGTATAACTATAAAACACACAAAGTACACATATGAATAATTACATTAGACACTATAGTGACTAAACATTTTTGCAGGCTAATCTCCACAAAGTTAGGGAACAATATCAGGAATAAAGATCTCCTATGCAACTACATCTTATCTTTCTTACATACATACCTTCTGATACTCTAATTATATGTTCATTGTCTGAAGCAACACATACTGCCCAAACTTCCCCACGTCTGCAACACATGTGGCACGGATCCTGATTAGTGGTGAGGACTGTGGCTGATATGCAATCTTGATCTGTCTCCATAGCACCATATATCTTACACACTGAAAGAAGGAGGGATCCTATGGAGAACCCTCCCTATCTGCAGCCACTTGAGCTTTTGCCCTCCTCCTCTCCATTCACATTTCCTCAAATTCAAGTCAGGCTCTGTTTTTTATTTCTTCATGTCAAACAAAGTGGCGGCACCATGAAGTACAGCATAGACAATGCTCAGGAGACAGAGTATGGAGTGTGTTCAGTGCAGACAGAAACTCTGGAAACTCAAGTTGCTGAGCACTAACAAACCTAACCAGGCTAACACAGAATGAGATTTTTGGGAGTCTTATAGTTTGAGACATTGGGAAAATCTACCACACTTCTACCACATTTTACAACCTTGCTCAAAAGCATAAAGATGTCAGCACAATTTTTTATAACTTGGGCAAAACAATGCATTTGACCCTTAATCTCATTCTTAGAAGCAGCAAAATTTTTTTAGTCACAGTTTATCCAAAATTTTTGTCAAATAAATGTCTGACATGAAAACTGCCAGCCACACTGGGTACCATTAGTAAAATTATTAGATACTGAAAGCAAGGTCTTTCAACACAAAGCACCAGGAATAACTATTAACGCCATCTTTAATAGTGCTGAACAGAAAATAGTATGATATTCATAAATCTCTACAGAAATTATACATAGAATCTCAGATGAAGGAAGGACAAGGCTATAAGTGTAATAACCAGAAGTGGCATTTAGAATTCACTGTTCTGTTACTGCTTTTGGTATTACCTGAATTCACAATAATAATAATAGGGTTGCTCTGAAAGAATTTTTTCTTTTAAATATGCACACAGTGTCTGTTAAATTTCACCAGAAGAACAGCACCCTGCTTTTGCTATAATATTGTCTCACAAATTATGACAGAACTTCACTGCTGATACTCTGCATGCTACATACCAGAAGAGCTAACCTATGTGTCCACAGGACTTGTGTAATTGGTCATTTCTCTTTCATTCTCCATAATATTGAGGGACTTGGAATGTCAGAGCTCATCCATCTTACACTGTTCTTGATTTAATACTGAACAGAAACTCTAAGGACTTTTTTTTTAAAAAGGATGTTATGGAAAATGTAATCTGTTTACTAGGATAGTAAGATTGACGCTACTCTCAAACATCTCAGCGTGTCCATGGTCCTTGTTACAGCAGCCAAAACTACTATTTGATCTTTCAAAAAGCTGACAGCCACAAGTCTCTCAATTGCAGAGAGGACCATATAGACATCTAGTTCCTAAATCTCTAATCCAGTCTTCCTCTACATTAACCAATAGGCATTTAAGGTTTTGAATAGCCTCTTTCGAGTAACTACTATGAGATCTCTGCTCAGAGAAGAGTCGCTTAATCTCTGGAAAACATCACAGCATTTTAGTTTGGAATTTGTGTAGGTAGGACCCCTCTAACCTTTGTCTTGCCTTGGCAGGAACTCCTTTGTGTCACAAAACACATGTGTAAATTCCTTCGCAAAAGCGACAGATATTTTCCCGTCTTATGAAGTGCTGTAAGGAATCACATATATGCATTTTTAAATATGGACGAAATTTCAGCAGGACAAAAATAAAGCTTCTGGGCATTTTCCACCTCTCAGGCTTCAATGCCTTCCTTATCCCTGAATAATTATCTTTAGAAAAATGTTTTGAGGTTGGCAGTTGTAAAGAAAACCTACACAAACCACTACATTCCACCCAAAAGCAACATGAAGCTCACTTCTCCCTCATAAATAGTCTTCTCCTACCTCAGGAGAGTGAGGATGGTTGGACAGGCAGAGACAGCTCCTGACTCTTCATTGTCTCTTGAGAGTAGAGAATCATCAGACCCTGTATCTTGCTCCTTTCCCATATCATCTACACTCTGGAGGGCACAGCAAAGTGTAAGAAAGAAAAATCATCCATTGACTGCCTCCTCAGGAGCTCCATAATCACAGCACTTCCCTTCTCAATTGCCTAAGACAGAACCCTCTGAATCAGATCATAACAGAAAATATGGTGGTTTTTTTTTTTTAAAGCATACAACTAACATTGGTCATACACTAATAAATATTTATGTTAACCTTCCCAAATTCCTCAGATGAACCCTATGCTTATAAATCAGGCTGCAGAATTTGGCGAAGGGTCAAAGCTGCTCATCAGAAATCCTTTGCAAGGGTGCACAGGCAGCCTGCACTCAGACCTAGGTAGGAAGAGTTATGGTACTTGCAGGAGGAGTAAGAAATATGATTTGGCTTCTGGCTATAGGTCACCAGAGAGGTAGGGACTGGGGACTGGCAGGCCATCAGCTTCCTGCTGGAAGCCAGCTGGGCTGCAGGGGTTATCAGCAAACAGCAGTTAATGCTAGGTTCCTTCTCCAATGAAATGAGTAGTTTTTGTCAGAAGAGAAGTGAATTTTATTCTTCCACTATGACTCACACTCTCCTCTACTCCCTTCTCCAAAGAAAATAAAACACATAAAAGAGATATTTATTTTCTGTGATCCTGAATCATATAGAAGCATAAATATTTGGTATACCATATTCACCTAATGATGACAGCAGAGTTACAGGGGCATATTGCTCAGCTGACTGTTTCTTTCTTTTCTCTCACATTTTCATTAATAAACATGTCAAAGCCTGAAAGCTTGAGCAGCTGGATCACAGGAGACATTTATCCACGCTAAACCTTGCAGTTACAATGAAACTGTGTCCTCCAGCTCAAGGTAGTGCAGATCCTCCTTTAAGACTGATGGTACTGGGAACAGAGCATGTGTCTGGGAAGCTGAAAAGATTCCTTTTTGTCCCACTAAAGAGATTTCCCC